AATTAACTGAATTAATTATATTTATATTATATTTTAATAATTAAACTAGGACAAATATAAAAAATATATTTTTATCCTATATCTTAAAAAATACATAATAAAAAAATCCAAAATAAAATTAGGAATTGTGGAATAATTTTTAAGGAAAACGCAGAGTGGGGCCAACAAGTTGCTTGTTCGGCGGTGCGGGCCGCTGCTTAAATGACAGCTAAGAACAAGCTAATGTAGAGCCTAAGCCAACCCCCAATCCACCCTAAGATCTCATACTTTTCTCCTTTGACTGCGTAAGCGCGTTGTTGCCTACAAGCATAGGAATGAAGAAAACACGAAAGATAAAAAAAATGAACAAATTGAGATAAATTTATTAAATTTTCCTTGAAGAATACTAATATATACTTTTTTTTTCTTCAAATTGTACTTGCTTCGCCCTTGGCCTTTGGGCTTAGTGGCAACTGCCACAATGAAAGGTGCATTCTCCTTCTTTAGCGTGGTTTCGACTTGCGTCATAACCAATTGTTTAAAAAAAAAAAAAATTGTACTTGCTTCAAAAATATTTTTTTAATTTTAAAAAAATATTAATCATCTAGAACAAGTATTGATTACTCCAAAATTCTAAACATGAGTATAAAAGGCTTCGAAGGACGATCGAACAGGAAGAACAATTAAAGTTGACTTTCTAATTGGTTTAGGTTTGTTAAACCTAGCCTTGGAGTAAATGGCTGAAAAACAGGACTTAAATCGAAAGGATCTCTATTGGATCTGATGAGTTGTGTGTGAGTTGTGAATAAAGGACTATGTGAATATATTTTTTGATTTAATATATTTTTTAATATATTTATAAAATAATTATGTTACATTCTAACTTATGATGAATGGTAATATTACAATCATTAAAAATGAGAGGATATCATGAGATTCGATCCTCTCCTCTTTTTATTAAAGGTTTTGATGTCATAATCTTTTATAAGATAGACTGTAACATAGGATTTTAATATATTTATTAAAAAATTATTATTTTTAAATTTAAATTAAATAAAAAAATTTCACTTTTTAAATTTAATTACTAAACTAAAAAGTATTAATAAATGTATTAAAGTAAAATTATATCAATCATAACTGCAAATAAATTAGAGCTATCATGCTAAAAAATAAGGTTTTAGTCAATAACTCAGGGCTTTACCCAAGCTTGAAGCAACTAAATGGCTTGCAAAAATAAAAGGCAAAAGCCTATTTTAGCATTTTACCTTATTAGATTTGTAAATTTTAACTTTTCAGCTTATATTATAATACTTTTAACTCTTCACCTATTAGAATTACAAAAAATAACTCTCAGTTATAACATTTTATTAATTTTGTTAACTGACTATTAATTCTATTAATTAACTATTAGTTGATTGTTAGTTGACAAAAACCTACTTTCAGTTAATAAAGTTAACAATCAACTAACAAAATATTGTTAACTCTATTAGCTTATTGTTAGTTGACTGTTACTTAGTAAAAACCTACTTTCAACTAATAAAATTAACAGTCAGCTAATAGAGTTAACAATTAGTTAATAGAATTAACGAATATTATAAAGCGAAGGCTATCTTTTTCAATTCTAATAGGTGAAGGGCTGAAAGTGTCATAGTATAAGGTAAGGGGTTAAAATTTACAAATTTAGTGATGTGAAGGGCTAAAAAAAAGTTTTTACCAAATATAAAACAGAGAAATTACAAAAGAAAAAGGTAAACAAATTGAAAGAATTTTATTAATTTTTTCCTAAAATAAACCTACTTTTTCTTTAATCTAAAAGTAAATTATTCTCACGTTTTTTTTTATCTCAATCTCTCAATTTTATGTAAATTAATTTAATGATTTTTCATAGTAAATAAATAACAATTAAAATTTTTTAATCTAAATAAAAATATTCAATAAGAATTATGTATAAAGAAAATTTTTAATTGTTATTTATTTATTATATAAATTTATCTAATTAAATTTTATTTCAAATTAAATGAAAATAATTAAATTTTACCCTCAAAAAGGTACAATATTATAGAATATAACTGAATAAGCATTGGAAGTCATTTTCGTTTCAGATCTCTTTTCAATATGCATCCATTTTGAGCTACGTTCCTCAGTCTGTCCAGCAACGGTGGGTTGGGCCTCTCTGTTTCATTTCCAATCTAAACCGCCCAAAATGGGCCAGGCTTCCCTCCAACAAGAAGAGAAAACGATGCAATCAAGACTCTAGTTATTAAAGAGTAAAATCTTGGCATGCTTAATTGATCCAATTGGATGATTTATGTTACATCTATAGCATATGGATGTGATCATTGCTACCGGTAATTTTACTAAGGCAACACATTTTAATTATAATTTTATCATTTTATATAGTTTTTTTAAATAATTAGTTATTTTATTAGTTCTCAATAGTTTATAATAATTAATTTAAAATACAAATTTAATAATTTTCTTAATCAATTTAAAGATAATCATAACTATATTTCTAAGTGTGTGTATATATATTTTTACCTCATCATCTTAATTATTATTATTATTATTATTATTATTATTATTTTTTGAGTTACTAGAGTCCAAGCAAGTATAAGTTTCTACCACAGGTTACAACAAACAAAGTACAAGTATGAATTAATCACAGAAAAACAAGAAGAAAATTAGTTGTTTGTCATAGCCATATATAGAGACAATGAATTCGAAACTTATAATCCACAAACTGCAATACAACATAAAGTTACAAAATAAAAGTGGACAAAACCCAACAATGACTTTGAAAAAAGGGACACAACCACACTTGGACCTTTTAATTTGTTTTACATTCAACATTCATAGCTATTATTTTCAACTTCCCAAGCTTTTCACAAAGGCCTTCAAATTATTTTCAGAAGAACCGCCGTCCTTAATAGCTTCAAGAGCTAACTTTCTCCACTTCTTAGCATTCTCTCTCATCTCTTCCCCTCTCTCTTCTCCCATCACCATCTCCACCAGCCTCTTTATCTCTTCCTTCCCCACAAAATTCTCTTCGTTTACTTTCACCCTAACACCCGTCCTCCACACCTCCTCCACCATCTTTGAATTCGTTATTTGATCGGAAAACTGTGGAAATGCAATCACTGGCACCCCCGCCACCAAGCTCTCCACGGTGGAGTTCCATCCACAGTGCCCTACAACACACCCTATTGATCTGTGATTCAGCACCTCCACTTGAGAGCACCATGCCACTATCAACCCTTCTTCCTCCTTGACTCTATTCTTCATCATATCCGCCAAGTCTTCTTGTCCATCTCTTGGTGACCGGATCACCCACAAGAATGGCCAACTGCTACCTATTAATCCTTGATAAATCTCTTCCATTTGATTTTTCTGTAACTCTGCTAAGCTTCCAAAGGACACATAGACAACGGACCGATCTGGCTTTGAATTTAACCATTGGATGTAATCACTAGATGTTTCAAATAAATCAACGCTGGAGGATGATTTTTCTGATGGGGTGTTTTCATCAAATGGAATCAAGGGTCCAACGGTGATCAGATTTATGTTATTAGTATGATCAGCAACAGCGACGGCCTTGATTGCATCTTCTTCTAGGGCATCAAAGGTGTTTATGAGTACACAAGGATTTGGGTCTTGTTCAAGGGTTTGAATGTGTTCTTGAATAGAAGGTGTGAAGGACCAATATATATTATTTGGTAAGATAAGAGAAGGCAAGTCTTTCCATGTAAATATCGGCAACCCCTGTAATGTTATGGTGTTTGGAGGGCTTTTACTTTCCATATCATAAGAACCAGTGTGGCTGTTGAAGCAATGGTAGAAGATAGCAAAGACAGTAGCAGACTGGCTGAAAAGAAGAGCAGAAGGGATGGACAAATTGCGGGCCACAGTGGCAACCCAAGCTTGGGTGAGACTGTAAATTATAAAAGTTATGGGACGGCCCTGTGTGGATAAGGTCTCTAATAGGTCAGGGAGGGATTGGGAGCCGACCCGCTTTTGTTCGGCTAAATAACGCTGCGAGTTGTCACGTGGGTAGTTTCCGTCGTCATAGCCATCGGAGAAAGAGGCGTAGGTTAAGCCCTCGAGTGAGGGGAAGCTCTTGATCTGACTGAGGCCGTAAATGGTGGTGGCTAAGGTGACTCTTGCACCACCGAGTATTAGGCGCTTGGCGAGTCGGAAAGTGGGGTTTAGATGGCCTTGGGCCGGAATGCACACAAGGAGGAAGTGGTGGTTCATTGAATTCCCCTTTTCGTTTTTTTAGGGTACACGGTGTTACAAAAGGTGGGTAATTATTATATAGAGATTTTATAAGTGTGATATGATTGACATCTTAAGTTTGGACGAGCCATGACTGTAACCCATATTGTTTTATTCCATGTGTCACGATCAATCCATACAATTTGTGATTTTTATTATTCGATTTGCGGATCCAGCGGCCTGTGGCATTATTTGAAATAGGACCACATGCACCATGCAATGTCGCATCCATCTTCTTTAAGTATGGAAATATATTAAGAGTAGGTTGGAAAAAATTTATGCTTACTTTAATTTTTTGATATTATTTATATTTTATAAATTTAAATTTTTTTATAAAAATTTATGTTTTTTAATTTTTTTAATTTTAAAAAAATCTTAAATAATAAAATTTAAAAATCTTTAAATTTAAATTTTTTTATAAATTTTTTTACTCATTTTTTACTTTTTTTTTATTATTTATAAAAATAATTTTAAAAATTTTTTAAATAAAAATTTAAATTTCTAATTCATAAAAAATATTTAAAAAAATAAAAATTTTAAAAAATTTCACCAAAACACGCCGTGTCATGTGACATGTCTTTTCGATAACGCCAAATATGACATGTGTTTCGGAGAACGCCAAATTTGACTCCACTGCCTACTTTTAAAAAAAGATAGCGCCGAACATGACATTATTCCAAATCTTAGACTGTTTTTCACCAGCCAGTCAAAGGATGTTTTAAGATTTTCATGGCCTGATCCTGTTTGGCTGTTTGATTAATTTCACGAGTATAAATTATTTCTTTTATAAATTAAAGGCTCATAATTTTTATTTGCTTTGCAATGCCTTATGTTAAATTTATAATAATATGGTTAATTAATAATAATATTATTTTATCAGATATACTAATTGATATATTTTTTAATTTAATATATTATAAAATATATTAATTAAAAAACTATTATTTTTAATATAAAATTAAAATTAAATAAAATTAAAAATATAATTATGCCATATAACATATAAAAATCAATAAATAAATATATTTATATTATGTTTTAATAATTAAATTAACTGAATATCAAAAGCATATTAAAAAAAAAAAAAAATGATGTGTGCACACTTAGATTCAACATTCAAATATATACACTTCGCATAAAAAAAATGATCTAAGATCCGATCCATTTTTTATTTTATGTGGAGTGTGCACACCCGGGTGTTGGATCCGGGTGTGCACACACCATGGTCCTAAAATAAATTTTCAATTCTACGATGATGTGGAATGCTTATTTAATAAATTGATTAATTAATAGTCAAAAGAGTTATAATTAAATTAAATTGTAGAATTACATATGTGTGTGGTAAGCAAGTATGTCATGGGGCGGATGGTATTGGATATTGGAAGAATGAGTGAACTGTTATTTTTTTTATTAAATAGTGATTGGTATATTTTCTTATTTAATATGTTTTATAGTATATTTATTACAAATTTATTTTTTAAAATTTAAATTTAAAGTGAAAAAATTTTTAATTATAAAATTTAATAGTTGAATTAGTAAGTGTTATAGGTATATGGTGTTAGAATTTTAAAGAGCAACATATGTAGAATTTAAAATAACAAAATCTAATAAAATAAATAAATTACGTACTTGAATATGTATAATCAATATATTATCTAATAATCTTCAAAGGATTTTTAAGAATTATATAATACATAATATGTCAAAACCACATCGTTCCTCTTTATGATTTCAAAGAAACCCTTTTATTAAGATGTAATCATTTTAACTCTTCACCAAAGAAGCCTTTAAACTTAATTGTGGTTTTATAGAAACCTAGAAAATAATCTCATTCACTTTTCTAAAAAATCTTTACACTTCAAACGAAGTTGTATATTTTCGAAAAAGCCTCTATGCTTTATACCTTGAGATCTCATTATTAATATTTATATGAGCTCATAAAATCATCAGTATAATGCAAGTGCATCATTATAAAATAATAAGTGATATAATAAGTAAAATAAAACTTATTATTACAAAAAAAATCAACTTCTCCCATTGATAAAGAATATCTAAAACAATTCTCATAGATAACTAACATAATTATAATCTATTGATCAATAAATTAGTTAATATAATCACAATAATACATTACTATAATCATTATTAATAATTTTACCTTCATGTCACTCTTACTTTACAAGGTAGATCAATTATTACCTTTGAATATATCTTTTCCATCAAATTATATCAACAAGTTATCTATATAAATAACTAACACCATCAAGTATAAAATATTCTAATGAAAAACAATCATCCATTATCTATTACTCAAAATAACATGATCTTTAAACTTTGATCACACACAAAAAAATACAAGAGTGACAAAACTTTATCAACTTTAATAAAGGCAATTTTATATTTAACAAGAATTATTTTGCATATAATTCACAACACATATATCTAAAAATTTCTCAATTGCAACCAAACAACTTTTCATATCAATAACCTTATTGTTATCTATTAAGTAAGAAATTATTTAACTCCTACTAACCTTTAAAACACCTTATTTATACCCCTTAAATGTCTCTTCACAAGAATGTCAAACTGATACTTCAATACAACTTCAATACAAATCAGTTAGGGATAATAACAAATCAAATTTATATAGATTAGTACATAAAAAAATGATATATTATTTTGCACTCAACCATATGAAATTCAAACAGCAACTTATGCTGCGTCACATCAAGAGACTTACCTTTGAACTGAATTTATCATTATGCATCAACCATACAAATAAAAATATTGCAAAAAAAAAAAAATTATAACATGCCCCAAAACTTGCAAGGCGTGGAAATTACACATAAATGAGACCAAAGAGGAGCAGATAAAAACAAGAACAATAATGACGCAAGAAATAACTTTTATCTTTGTACTTGTATATCATTTATAATGAATTTTCATTTTATTTAATATATGCATCATTATATAGAATAAACTTTCAAATTCACAATTTATAAAGAGGTAATAGCAATATTTAGATCGATTACTCTTTCACATGAATATGAATACTGAAATAACTAGAAATAGAAAGTCAATAATACATTAACAGAAGTTTCAAACACAATTATACTTTACTTTATAGACACTTTTATGTTTATTAAATAAGTTTATAAAATTAAATTTTAACAAGCTAATTAGTAAGAAAACTATGCTTTCAGCATTTCTTTTTTCTTAATTTATAACCCTTATTAATTGCTCCCACTACTTCAATTAATACATACAATAATCACCTTTGACTAAAATATTACATGCAGTAGCAACTTTATATTTTAATTTTAATAGTCCATGTGTGATATTTCTCAATAAATCAACTAGTTTTAATAACATAGTAATTTAATGTAACCAATGAATATGAATTTTATTAAACTTTAGAAGTTTTATTATAAGTGAATTAATAAAAATGGTCTTATAAAAAATAATTCTCTTTAGACAGAAGATTCTCTATAAAACCAAAATCAAAACCCTTACTAACCACTCATACTTTGTTTAGTCAATATGCACAGTCACCCATACATACTAATTTCAAGAAGTAAATATTCCAAAATCTTTATTGAGAAATAAACAAATTTAATAGATGACATACTTTGATGTACCACCCACGTCAATTGACGTACTCTCACTGAAATACTTACTTATAAATAATATAACATTTCAGAATACTTATTGGGAAAATATATGAATTTCAATAAATGATCTAATTTGGTAGTACCATTCACATAAACTCACAAGTTCTCATTGGAATAATTACTCATAAATAATGTAACATTTCATAATTTTTATTTAAAGATTAACTAATATGTCATTGGAACAAAATTTCATAATATCCCAAAAATTTTGAGTGATAGAAATCATTAGTCATAATAAATAAACTCTTGATATTCATATTAACCATAAAGCAGTATTAGGACTATCATTTATATATATGGTCCTATAATCTCTCTTAATCATATCTTTTATAATTTTTAACAATGGTAATTCTTTAATTTATGAATTGAGAGAATCTTAAAGCTTTTAAAAAGACTTTCAATACTAAATAGTTCCCCTACTTTAATGCTCAAAGAAATCATATGAAATTACTTTAATATCTTAAATAAACCAAGATACACAAATTTTAAAATTTTTAAAACTTTATCAAACATCTTTTTAAGATTTTAAAATTTTCATGCATTGCCACAATTAGGCTATCACCAATATACATAATAGGCACATATAATTATTTCTTGTAGATAATTAATTACTAACAAAATCTGTTATAAAATAAATGATTTAACCTTAAATTATATGTCATGAGTTATATTCAAATTTTAATTCCACAAAATCTCTTTACAGGTTTAAAAATTGAGTAATCAAAACTATAAATTTCATATGCTAAAACCCACATATGAAAACAAATAACTTTATCCTAAATAAAATATCAATATGAATAAAATCATACTTAGTTACCTTGCATAATTGTACCTTTATAGTTTGTCTTGATATAACTTGACGAATCATTGAAACTATAATTCTCAACAATCCTTAGTACACCTTTAATATATATTTTTTGAAAATTTTCTTAACTTTCATAGAGTTAGTAGAAAATAATAATTATACTTTCTCTAAATGCATAATTAATTTGCATAGATAGTTTATTGGCAATTATAAATATGTTCTTTACATCCAAATATGGGCACTTTATTTCCTTATTAGAAAACACAGTGTTAGGAAACCCATATGCTAAACCACATATGAAGATAAGTAACTTTCATGAGAACTAAAATTTCATAATTATCTATTCATTTATCCATGACCATAAATTTCTTTATTAATAGTCAAACTTAAAAACTTTGCAAATAAGCAGTACAACTAATTTCAAGAAATTTAACTCAAAGACATTACAATCTATAAATAATGGGTATATAAAACTCACGTAAATCCAATTGTGGCTAATTACTTTAGCAAAATCTTGAAAATTAATCTTTAATATCTGTTTCATAGTATATATCATGTGCATGATAATATTCACAAAATAATTTCAAACCAAAACATAAAAATTATGTTATATCAATAATTTGCCACTAACATATATCTTTAACCTCCAAATATTGACACATATTTTGTGTTACACTTAATTTGTATTTTAATTTAGATGGAATAAATTAATATACATACTTATTATGTAAATAATTATTTTGATTTATAAAATCAAACTACCTAATAAATATTCTTTATGCATATATAATCTTTAAATGAGATTATATTAATAGATATTCTTCACATAAAGTCTAATATGCATTGTGTATAAATCAAAATACACAATTAACATCAAAAGGATCAAATACTCTCAATACTCAATTGCTGCAAATCACCTAAGTGTTGACACCCTCATATTACGTCAGGCTTGCACAATAGCTTAAAACTAGTTATCTGTCAATAGCTTCACCAATTGTGGAAGAAACAAGTCTGCGTCAGACTTTTGGACCACTGTGTAATTTCTTGAATGATAAAATGACAATATTGATCCCTCAACTTCTATTTTCCCTCTCTTTTTTTTTTTTTTTTAGTTAGTTGAATTCCTTAAGAAAATCAACTCCTTTTCTTTACTTCCCATTGAGAATTCAAATCTTGAACCAATTTTTTTTTTATCCTTTTAAAATTGGTTGATTCAAATAAGGTATTAAATAACAAAAGAATATCATAATATAAACTCATAAATTTAAAAATATTCAACTAAATTTACCTCTATATCACATAATTATTTATGGAGATTATTTTAAATATGAAAAAAAAGGGATTAAATAGTAATTAATCTAAAATTTAATGTCTAAGTATTAATATGTAACCTTATTAGACCTCTAGGAACACATTTGCACTAAATAGGATTACAAAAGCGACTAAATAGCAGTTTTCCCATTAATCATCTTGGCACATTAACTTCTTTGAATTTTCATCTTTTGCATTTTATCACGTTGTTAGACAAAACTTAAATAGATTCAATTGCAAGTTCTTAATCTACAAAAACTCTAAATTTAATTCTTAATTAAACACTTACATAACTTAATTAGAAAACCAAAATTTTTCCACCAATTTCAATTAATATTGCTAAAATTTTAATAATCACAAATATTATTTAGTTACCCGCGAATTAAGTTTTTTCAAAAATTATAATAATGACTTTAACTCAATTTACCATCACCATGATTACTTTTTGTATACATACAGCATTACATGACTCCAAATCTATAAATATATGGTCCAGAACTTGCTCTCTAGTATAACCAAATAGTTTCATACTTGGTATCAATAAGTATCCCAATTTCAAAATCAAAGATTTCAAGTTACCTAAACAATGGTAATTTTAAGATCCATTTACAAGTTAATCTTGTTTGGATCCTAATTCTACATATAACCTACTCTAATACCACATGTTAGAATTTTAAAGATTAACATACATAGAATTTAAGATACCAAAATTTAATATAATAAATAAATTACATATCTGAATCTTTATAATTAATATATTATTTAATAATTTTTAAAGATCTTTAAGAATTATTATAATTAGAGATCTCGCGATAAAACTTACAAAACTAATATAGTTAATATTTGGAATTTAGGTTTTCCTCTCCCCATTTAATTTCTGTATATTGACAACCAATAGGTTATCTCACTTCTTAATTTTACTATTTATAGAGATATGGTTTTCTGAATGGGAGAGGAGATCTAACTCATTATAATAATTTTTTAGGTATTCCATCAAGTAATCCACTTTTAATTTTAACCCCTACACATATTCATATCATACCATATAAAATTGAAATAAAACCTAAATCCACTTGGATCATATAATTGTATTAGCTTTTATCGATTTTTCATCTGATTCAATTTTTAAAATTAAATACAATTAGCGTTAACTCACATAAAAATTTTCAATATATTAAAATGAAAAATGTGCAAATTATTATTTTTTATTTTATTTATCTTAAAAGATTAAGAAAAAAATTTATAAAAAAATGAGTATAAAGAGTACTAAAACTCATAGATACATCAGAAGTGTAGGTTACAAAATTTTCCATAATCTTCTGCAGTGTTTAGATTCCAAACATCTACTTGGATTTTGACACCATTCAAAAGATAGGAGCAAGGCCAACCTTCTAAATAGTTACTGATCCAAAAATAAGTACGCCTTTGTACCAACTCAAACACACCATCAATAATTGTCATCAGGTTTTCGTTGAATGTCACAGCGTTTCTTGCAAGACATAGAGGCAAAACAATTGCGTATCAGTCCACCTGCCATCCCTTTCTTTTTTTTTTTTTTTGTGGCCATGATAATATATATATCTTCATCATGTTTTATAATTACGTGTAGATTATCAACTATGCCATTAATTTGATCATAAAATTCTTATATTTTTAAGCATAGTTTTAATGTCAATCTCTAATTGCTACAAAATAATAATAACAACAATAATAATAATAATATATAATTGGTTAAAACCCCTTTTTGGTCCCTGAACTATTGTACAGACCCTCGATTTGGTCTCTAAACTAAAAAAATCCCTAATTTGGTCCTTACTGTTTACCATTTTTACCCCGATTTGGTCCTTCCGTTAAAAATCCAGTGACGTGTACTGTTAACTAACGGAAACACGATGACATGTCATATAATAATCCACGTGGAAGATAATATAGTCAAAAAATGATGATATAGAAAAAATAATAATATAAAAAAATATTATAAAAAAATAAAATTTTAAATTTTTTTTTTCTTTTTTCCTTCTCCTTCTCCTTTCCCTTTCCCTTCTTCCTTCCCCTTTCCCTTTCCCTTCTCTTTCCCCACGGAACCCAGCAGGCCTGGGTTCCTTCGAACCCACCCAGGCGCTGGGTTCCTTGCGAACCCAGGCACTGGGTTCCGGCCTGGGTTCCATGGAACCCAAGCGTTGGGTTCCCTCGAACCCACGCCTGGGTTCGAAGAACCCAGGGGTAAAAAATGTTTTTTTTTTTTCTGTGGGTTTGGTGTTTGATGATGATGAAGAAAGCAAGGCAAGGAAGAGGAAGGAAAAAAAAAGGGCGTTGTTGGGTTCGATTCAACCCAGGTGCTGCGTTCGATTCAACCCAGGTGCTGCGTTTGTTTGCTACTGGGTTTGTTTGCTGGAGGAAGAAGATGATGGCAAATTCGTAATTTTGGTGGGCCCCACTTTTGTTGGGTTGGGCAAGGACGTGATATGTCACGTTGCCATGTCATTATTTATTCATTTATACAACTGACGTGTCTCAGATGTTTGACATGTCATTAAATTGTCATGAGATAACGGTGAGATTTTAACGGAAGGACCAAATTGGGGTAAAAATGGTAAACAGTAAGGATCAAATCAGGGATTTTTTTAGTTCAGGGATCAAATCGGGGGTCCGTACAATAGTTCAAGGACCAAAAAGGGGTTTTAACCTATATAATTAGGTGCAGGCATGGAACCGCAAGCCTTTAAATTCATTTCATCATCAATCGGTTCTCATCACTGTATCATTCCCTTATATATTATTCTCTCCATTGCATCTCCGTTCCAATCCCAACTCTAAACCTTCCTAATCCTCGCAATAAATCTTAGCAACACCAATCTCGCTCACTCACTGCCATTGTTATGGAATGGCTCAACCCCACGTCCTAGTTGTAACATTTCCTGCGCAGGGCCATACAAATCCTGCCCTCCAATTTGCCAAGCGCCTAATAAATCTAGGTGTTCGTGTCACCTTCATGACATCCATCTCAGCCATTAACCACATTAACAAGAGTTCACTGGTGGAGGGTTTATCATACGCTGGTTTCTCTGATGGCAATGACGACAGTTCCAAACCAGAGCACGATTTCAACAAGCTTATTTATGAGACTGAGCGCTGCGGTTCTGTTTCCTTAAGAGAGTTCATTGCTGCCAGTAGTGCCAAAGAAGGCGCGTCGTCACTCATATTGTCTACTCTATAGTTTTTCCTGGGATGGCAACCGTGGCAGGAGAGTTTCACATCCCATCAACATATCTTTGGATTCAACCTGCCAGTCTCTTGAGCATCTACTATTATTACATTAAAGATTAGGAGGATGTCATTAACAAAAACATTGAGGATCCTTCGTTTGTTGTGGAATTACCAGGAGTGGTGCCACTTCTCAGTAGCCATGACTTACCCTCTTTTTTGCTTCCTTCAACTCCATTTCATTCAATCATGGACACAGTGAGAAGGCAAGTAGGGTTACTTGATGAACAAACCAAGCCAAAAGTTTTGGTTAACACATTTGATGCCGTGGAACCCAAGGCTCTCAACGCGATCCAAAATTACAACTTGGTTGGAATTGCACCTTTGATACCATCTGCCTTTCTGGACGGTAAAAATCCTTCGCATACTTCATTTGGAGGTGATCATTTTAATGGGGCAAAAGAATACTATATCCAATGGCTTAATTCAAAGCCTGAAAATTCTGTGATTTATGTTTCTTTTGGTAGCATGCATGGCTGTGTTGGAAAAACCACGGATAAAGGAAATAGCACGTGCGTTGATAGACACTGGATTCCCATTCTTGTGGGTGATGAGAGAAAGTGGAGAAGGAGAGAAAGAAGAGGAGAAGTTGAGTTGTAAAGAAGAGCTGGAAAAGCAAGGAATGATAGTGCCATGGCGTTCGCAAGTGGAGGTTCTTTCTCATCCATCAATAGGATGTTTCTTGACGCATTGTGGATGGAATTCGACATTGGAGAGCTTAGCTTCCGGAGTGCCAATTGTGCATTTCCTCAATGGTCAGACCAAGGGACGAATTCAAAGCTTGTACAAGACGTGTGGAAGACAGGAGTGAGAGTGACAAAGAATGAAGAAGGGAAGGTTGAAAGTCATGATATAAAGTGATGCTTGGAATTGGTAATGGGAAGTGAGGAAATGAGACTGAGTGCAAAGAAATGGAAAGATCTGGCCAGAGAAGCTGTCATGGAAGGAGGGTCTTCTGATATGAACCTTAAAGCCTTCATTGATGACTTGGGAAATTTTTGATGGTTTTGGGTACGTGGTACAATTAGTTTTTTTTTTTTTTAACAAGTTGTCATGGGCGGGGTTCGAAGCCCGCTTATAAGGGAGGGGGAATGTACTTCAAGCTGACAGGCTGTTTGTTGACTCGAAGGGTCAGGTGCACGTGGTACAATTAGTTAAGAATTTAAGAATTTGAAAATTTAAGTAAAGATTTCAAATTCAAAAAATTTAAGTCTGGCATGGGATTTAAGAAAAAAAATCTTTATTTATATAATGTTAAGAAAAAAAATCTTTATTTATATAATGTTATGAAATAAAGGTAGCTACCATCCATTTTTATTACTAATAGCATGCATGCTACTTTTCTTTTTCTTAACAGATGATTCACGTTAAAATGTATTAATTAGGAGCATTCATTTCCTAATGAACAACAATTATTTTCATTATCTTTCATTCATATAATGGAGGACTAATAATTCATTAAAATTTATTGACATGTTTATACCTCTAACATTTTCCATGAAAATTCTTCGTATTATTGTATAGTAGACTTCATTTTAAGAGTTACAATATCTTTGTGTACTAATAAGTGTACTTTATGTGAAATACGAAAATAAGTTTCAAGCTTTCTTCCTTCCTTTTTTATGTTGTTCTTTCAATTCTCCATAATTTGTTTCTTTTATTTTCTTATAATTTACATGATATATCATATATGCACAAAAAAAAATTAAATAGAATATAAAATTAAAAATTAAAAATAATTATATTTTATTGAATGATTAGATTTAAGATTAGTTAAATAGGTTTTTTAATTAAATAATAATTAATATTAGATCATTTTAAAGAAAAACAAAAAAGTTAAAAAATTTTAATTTTAATTTTAATTATTTAAAAAAATTAAATCCATTACTTGTAAGTTATAAGTATACCCCTTCAACCTAACACCAAAAATAATTAAATTTGATAAACTCAAGATCCATGATAACTTAATTCCAACCCACGCAACCCGACCCATTTACTAGGCCGCAATGTCAAAACAATTCCTTACCCAAATTTCCTCAATTATTGTTCGAAAAATAAAATATGTAGAAAGTACTAGAAAAGGACAATTCAGGATGGCAGTGGCAGTATTATATAACCACCTTAAAGGACGGCAGAATATTACACCTATGCTGCCGTAGTAGTTATAAATCAATTTATAAAATGTATCCTTTCATTATATATATATATATATTTTTTAGTGTTGAGGTTCGACTTTTCCCCGTCAAAATTGTCATACTGTTTAAAAAAAAAAAAAAAAAGACGCCAGAATATTTATATAACTAAATTGCACGGGCGTTGCTCGAAGTACTAGTAATTAAAATGCCCCAGGTCGGCAGTTCGTACCTTTTTCTTCTAAAGCATGGCGATGAAGAATTCAATGAACCATTACCGCACATGTCCTTCTAGGCCTTTTGGTAAGGTGGTACGTTTCCTAACCTTATGAGTTGGATTTAAAATTTTTATTCTATTTAAAAAATGTTATTTGTTTAAAAAAATTAGAAAGTGGAATAACAGATTGTTTAATTTTTTTTTGACTTGGTTATGTTCACACATATATGTTATTATTAGGATTCCATAATTTGATTGAGATGTTTTTATAATTTAGTCTATATTTATACATTTGGTTTAATGTGTAAAAGTATTTACTTATAAATTAATTAAATTTAATTTTTTAATTAAAAAATATTAATTTTTTATAAAAAAATAAAAATTATATTAAAATAAATAAAATT